GCCCCTGCACTCACATCAGAGACCTGGAAGAAGCTCCTGGCTTCAGATTGGACCAGCTCTGGCCACTGCAGCCATTTGAAGAGTGAACCAGCAGATGGAAGACTTTCTACCTCTCTCTCTCTCTCTCTTTCTCTCTCTCTCTGACTCTGGCCCTCTGTAACTCCGCCTTTCAAATAAATCTTTAAAATAAGAAGAAACTGAAGCCTAAGTTCATGTAAGTTTATACCCTTTACCTTTCCCAAGGTAGACCAGGTAGAGCGCAAAAAAACCCACTCAGAACTCACTCTGGGCATGTCCCATAGGTGCCAAGTGGTCCGTGAAGTTGTCGTAATCACCCTGGAATGATCTGAAACATTGCCTGACCACATTACAAGTGAATATTTCAATTTCTTGATATGAAATAGAAAACGAGCATGCAAAATATTTGTATGGGATGCTTTTGGCTTTGAGATTTTGTACCAAAAATCTGTGAAGTTGCTTACTCAAAAGTGACTGGTGTCTAGAAACAGCAATAGCAAGCAGAACATAGGGGGCTGGCATTGTGGCACAGTGATTTAAGCCTCTGCCTCTGAAGCCAGCATCCTACATGAGCACCAATTCATGTCCCAGATGCTCCACTTCTGAGCCAGCTCCCTGCTAATGTGCTGGGAAAAGCAGCTGAGGATGGCCCAAGTACTTGGGCTCCTACACCCACATCCGAGACCTGAACAGAATTTGGCTTCAGCCTGGCACAACCCTGACCTTTGTGGCCCTTTGGGGAGTGAACTGGGGGATGGAATATCTCTAACTTTGCCTTTCAAATAAATAAAAATCATTAAAAAGTAAATCCATCTAAAAAAAAAAAAAAGGCAGAACATGTACATGATATGGGAACCCCCCAAAGACAACAGAGACAAGTTATAAAGCCAGCTATGACTTTTCCCCAGCAGACCCTCAGACATATGCTGTCACCAGCCGGAGTTCCTGCATCAGTCATCCCTAGCCTTTTCCTGATGTGTTTTCAGGAGAAATAGAAATCTCTGATAGCAGACACCTCCTGCGTGGACACTGTTTGTGGTATTTGCTCAGCTCACCCCTTCCCCAGGAAACAAGACACTCCTTGGCTGCTGCGCTTCCATGCTCTGCCCTACCTACCCCCTGCAGCTGAACAGACCAGAGGATTATGAAAGACCTGGCATCTATACTCAGAGGCTACAAGCTGGCTGCTCACTTTGGTCTGGTGTCTTATAGCAGGGTTCCAGCTGTGAGCTGAGGAGACAGGATTCACAGTTGCTCAGTGAACTATAGCCATCCTCCTTCAAGCCACTGGGTACCAGTCTCTAGCGATGTCAGGACAGAAACTGAGAGCTAACAAGCACTTAGGAGACTTCACAGAAGTCTAACAGAGCCATTTTACGCCTATGCAATCTAATAAGAACAAGGGCTGTCTTTGCTCATTTGAGTATAATTCATTTTTGCAATTCATTCTTCTTGTGTTTTAGAAACACAGGATTTCACAGGTGATATAACAGATCTGGAGAGAGAAAAAGCAGAGACAGACATTTGTGAAAGGATTCCTGGTTAAGCTGCCTTCTACACTGCCGGCATCCCATGTGGGCACCAGGTCGAGTAACAACAGCTCCATTTCCAATCCAGCTACCTGTTAACGTGCCTGGGGAAGCAGCAGAAGATAGCCCTAGTCCTTGGGCCCCTGAACCCACATGGGAAACCTGAATGAAGCTCCTGGCTTCAGCCTGGACCAGCCCTGACCACTGCAGGCATTTGGAGATTGAACCAGCAGATCGAAGATATCTCTCTCTCTCTCTCTCTCTCTCTCTCTATATATATATACACACACACATATATATATAATTCTGACTTTCAAATAAATAAACCAATCTTTAAATACACACACATTCCTAAGTCTTCACAATGTTTATTTTTTGTTTAAGCTTCCTCAGGTGACTTTCTGGGCCTTGAAACTAGAATCCTAATGAATAAATTCACATCAGTCTCTGAGGATTGAAAACATCCTTCTGGGGTGGTGTTGTGGTGCAGTGGGCTAAACCACTGTTTGCAATGATAGGATTCCAAATCAGAGCACCTGTTTGAGTCCTGGCTGCTCTGCTTCATACCCAGCTCCCTGCTAATGTGCCTGGGAAGGCAACACAGATGATTCAGACACTTGGGCCTTTGACACCCATGTCTGGCTCAGCCTGGCCCTGCACTGGCTATTGCAGTCATTTAGGGCCTGAGCCAGAGGATGCAAGACTTCCCTCTCTATCTCCCTTTCTCTCTGCTTTTCAAATAAATAAGTATTTAAAAATAGTAATAACCTATATCTTCATTCCAGTTTCTCAAGAAGTTCCCACCTGAGACTCTCTCAGACCAATCCAAACTAACAGCCACCTTCCATTTTCATCTCAGTTAAATCCTCCTTTCTAAAACCAAGCAACTCTTTATGGAGAAATCATGGAGGAGATAGACAAATGGCTACAACAGATGCTGAAGTTAATAAACGTGCACACAGAGCCCACTATGCTCTCACAGAAGGAACACAGCTGAGTGGATGCACAAAGGCTTGCCATATTGTCCTTGCATCACAGTGAGAAGAGAGAAGTAATACACAAGGTAATGAATTTTCAAAACAAAACAGCTCCATAAAGTGATCCATGCAAGGAAGGAAATCATAGATGACCAGAAAAACAGATCAGCCACCCAACACTACCACAAAACAGAGAGGTAGTTAAGGCACAGATGACACACTGAGGACTACCATAAATATCACTCATCAGGATTTCTGCTATACCAGGCACAGTTAACTACTTTAAATACCCTCACAACAAACTTACGGGATGATATGGTAATTCCCATTTCACAGAAGTTCCTAACTTGTACAAGGCAATGGCTTGGAAGAAACAAGCATGGGACATCAGTCTAAATCCTCTTGCTCCGTAACGCATACTCTTAGTCACCCATGGAGAGCAACATAACAGAAAGGTGAGCCGCAACAAGCCAGAGTTCCTCTCCGTCACCTGGAAGAGCCAGGCCCAGCCGTTCTTGCTTGTTACCAACAGAATCATGCAGTCCCTTCAAACAGGCATCTCCTCTGAACATCGCATGCAGAGCCCTCTGCTCAGTGAGGCTGACCTGATTTTGCAGCAGAACTCTGCACAGTAGCCATTTACCCTGCACCACGTAAAAGCTATTTTTTCCTAAGCCCTCTGGAGAAATGGAACAAGAAAGAAGGTTGGATCCTATGATGTAATTTCCCCAAATAGTGGCAGGGGGCTGCAGCAAACAGTCTCATGAAATCCCATCAAATGTACAAATGACATGGGCTAAAGTTGAACAGCAATTGAATGAATCATCGAACATCTGGGCTGTATGTCCAACGGCCAGAAGAGCCCCAGGCTCAAATCTTTGTTTACAGGTGCTAACCCATCCATCACAAGTCCCCCGCTCACGCTGCTTCCTCCCTCTCTCAGCCACCCTCTCATTCTCTTGATAGGTTAGTATATAGATTTTCTCATCACAATTTCAAGTGGCTGAAATTTTCCTTCCCTCTCGACCTTATAAGGTAGCAAGATTCTGAATTCAGGCCTCCCTAGCCAGCTCCAGGCAGAATACCTGACACCCAAGCAAGGAACTAAGATGAATATAGGGGCACTGGGTGCCTGGAGGTGTGAAGTTGATTGATGGAATGATGGCTTGCGTCCAATAAAAAAATAATAATAAACCTTCCATTCCAACCTCACTACCCTAGAATTCACAGCAATCTAAAATAAACTGTGTTGGATTTACCTATACACTACCTATGAAATGAGTATACTAAAAACAGTTAAAATGTTCATATACTTTAGTAAAATTAACTCTGTAAATATATCACATGCTGTTCAAAGAGTTATAAGAGAGATCTTCACAAAGTCCATAGAGAATGAGTATTATGAACAAATTATGCATGGATTTCAACACTGTTTTGCACCAGATAAAGTTATATTTTTAGGGGCCAGCATTGTGGCACAGCAGGTTAAGCTCCCTGCTGCAATGCCAGCATCTCAATATGGGCTTCAGTTCGAGCCTTGGCCTCTCCAGTTTGATCCAGCTTCCTGATAATGTGTTGGGAAAGCAACAGAGGATGGCCCAAGTGCATGGGCCTCTGTACTCACATAGGAGACCTAGATGGAGTTCTGGGCTCCTGGCTTTGGTCTGGCCCAGCCCTGGCCTGTGCCCAATGGGGTAGTGAACTAGTGGATGGAAGATCTCTCCATCCCTATTTCTCTCTCTCCCTCTAACTGACTTTCAAATAAATTTTTAAAAATGTTCTTAAGGTGACCTTTTACAAAAAGCTAAACATTATTTCAGCAGCAAAGAGAGAGGAGAGAGAAGAGAGCAGAGAGAGAGAGAGCAAGCGAGAGAGAGCGAGAGAGAGCAAACTCCCATCCTCCAGGTGATCCACTCTAATGCCTGCAAAGGCCGCACCAAGTCAAAGCAAGGAGCCAGCAGCTCCTCCACTCAGGTCTCCCAGGTGGTGGCAGGGAACTACCTGAGCCACTACCACTGCCTTCTAGAGGCTCCATTTTCAGGAAGCTGGAGCCAGGAATGAAACTCAATCACTCCAATATGGCACATGAGTACTTTAACTAATGTCTTTTTTTTTTTTTTAATTTTTGGACAGGCAGATTTAGACAGTGAGTGAGAGAGAGAGAGAGAGAGAGAGAGAGAGAGAGAGAGAAAGGGCTTCCTTTTCTCCGTTGGTTCACCCCCCAAATGGCTGCTACAGCCAGCACACTGCACTGGTCCGAAGCCAGGAGCCAGGCGCTTCCTCCCGGTCTCCCATACGGGTGAAGGGCCCAAGCACCTGGGCCATCCTCCACTGCACTCCCAGGCCACAGCAGAGAGTTGTATTGGAAGAGGAGCAACCAGGACAAAACCAGCACCCCAACTGGGACTAGAACCCAGGGTGTCGGCGCCGCAGGCGGAGGATTAGCCAAGTGAGCCTGTTTGAAAGGCAAAGAGGGTGGAGTCGGGAGCCACCGAGCGGTGGTGGCGGATTTCCTGGGCCCGGCTTTCCAAGGGCTAACCATGGCGTTTGGGAAGAGTCACTGGGATCCTTATGCCACCTCCGTGGGCCACCTCATAGAAAAGGCTACATTTGCTGGTATCCAAACTGAAGATTGGGGTCAGTTCATGCACATCTGTGACATCATTAACACCACCCAGGAAGGGCCAAAAGATGCAGTAAAAGCTTTGAAGAAAAGGATATCCAAAAACTACAATCATAAAGAAATCCAACTTACCTTGTCACTTATAGACATGTGCATGCAGAACTGTGGTCCAAGTTTCCAATCTCTGATTGTGAAGAAAGAATTCATTAAAGATAGTCTAGTTAAGCTGCTGAATCCCAGATACAATTTGCCATTAGACATTCAGAATCGAATCTTGAATTTCATTAAGACGTGGTCACAGGGTTTCCCAGGAGGTGTGGATCTAAGTGAAGTGAAAGAAGTGTACCTTGATCTGCTTAAGAAGGGTGTTCAGTTTCCTCCCTCAGATGCAGAGGCTCAAAGTGCCCGACAGGAGTCTGCTCCAGTTTCATCACATCCGTCAGCATCTGTCCCCACTGCACCAGCTCTTTCTCCTGTAATTGCTCCCAGGAACACGACTATTACGTTAGTCCCAGAGCAGATTGGAAAACTGCACAGTGAACTGGATATGGTGAAAATGAATGTGAGAGTGATGCTCGACATATTGTTGGAGAATACTCCTGGATCCGAAAATCAAGAAGACGTAGAACTTCTGCAGAAACTTAAGACAAGTCGGGAGATGCACAAGAGAATCATGGATCTACTTGTGGTAGTGGAAAATGAAGGTGTAACTATTGAGCTAATTCAAGTGAATGAGGATTTGAATAACGCCATCCTTGGATATGAGAGGTTTACTCGAAATCAGCAAAGGATTTTAGAACAAAATAGAAACCAGGAGGAAGCCACCAATACTACCAGCGAGCCTTCCGCTCCATCTTGTGATCTCCTGGACCTCAGTCCCAGTCCCCCGATGCCTGGAGCCCCTCTGGGAGAACTCACACCGTGAACGCTCAGCTTTCAGACTTAAGTCTCAACTTTGTAAATCCTGCTGTAACAAACAACTTGAAACCCAGTCTTCATCCAGAGGTGAATTTGTCAGCCTTTGAAAATACAGAAATGCCCACGTTTGCCCAAAGGACCAACCAAAACCTCGCCTCAAGTCATATGATAACTTTCCAGAACACTCAAACTCAGTATTGCTACAGCCAGTTAGTCTACCGACCACTGCAGCAACACCCTCAAACCAGAAGCTACCATCCTTGCCCAGCAATCATCCAGTGATGACAAAGAAAGATATCCAGACACCCAGTTACTATGAGGTGATGGAGTTGGATCCCTTAGCTCCAGCCGTCACTACAGAAGCTATTTATGAAGAAATTGATGTTCAACACCAGAAAGAAACACAAAGCCATGGTAGTTGTTGAGGTGAAAATGGATTATCAGTTCACTAGCCAAAAAGAGAGGTGCCAACTCTGTAAAGGATGGGCCCTGTTCAGCTTGGAGGCCTAGATGATAAGATCCACCGACACATCAGAGCCACAGTGGATCATCTCTACTCTGCTGTAATGAAATTTAAACCGAAGAGCAACATTTATTGTTCCTGACAACAACTCGGCAGTGGAACTTGGTTGTGAACAAATAGTCACGTAATACTTCAGAGGAAGAAACATTAGCACTTAGGCCAACCAGCTTAATAGTAGTGTCCTATGTTGTGCAGGCCTTAGATTTACAAAGGAAATAATCACATGGCTGTATTAAGAGTAGATGAAGATGATTTTTACTACAAAATAATTCTAAATTGATTTAAGCAGGAAGTGTGAGAAACTAAATGTATTATTCAGGAAGAATGCTAAATGCCTTCATTTAACTAAAGTTGAATGTAAAAGTCAATTTGCACTTCTTTATAAATACTGCTCTGGTTTAGAATTGTAAAAGCCTTGATGATTGCAGTTTAATTACATTTCAGGTGTCCTGAACATGTCACTAGACTCCACATTGGTAGCCTTTAAGTATGAATCTTCATAAAGCTAAATGTTCTTTTTTCTTTTTACTCTAACATTTCTATTTGAAATAAAGACTACTATAAAATATTCATAGAAATTGTTTACGTAAATGACAATGACAAATAAATTACTATTAAAATTTTTTAAAAAAGGCAAAGAGACACCGAAATAGATGGAGGCTGAGAAATAGTTCCCATGCTCTGGTTCACATCACAAATGCCTGCAACAGCCAAGTTGGAAGCTAGGAAATTCATCCTGGTCTCCCGCATGGGTGACAGTGACCCAAGTGCTGGAGCCAACACCTGCAGCACCTTGCCAGGTACACATCAGCAGAAAGTTGGAACCAAGAACTCTTCTATGGAATGCAGGTGTCACAAATGGCATTTTGAAAAGAAGATTCATTTTATTTATTTGAAAAACAGTTACAAAGAGAGGTAGACCCAGAAAGAGAGAGGTCTTTCACCCACTGGTTCACTCCCCAAATGACTGCAACAGCCAGAGCTCAGCATACATGTTAATGGCTATAAAGCACAGACAATCTGAATATTGTTTAAGATGTATTTATTTATTTGAAAGGCAGAGAGGTGGAGAGAGAGAGAGAGACAGAGACAGAGAGAGACAGAGAGCAAGAGATAGAATCTTCCATCCACTTGTTCGCTCCCCAAATGGCCCCAACAGCCAGAGCTGTGCTGATTTGAATCCAGGAGCTTCTTCCTGGTCTCCAACGAGAATGCAGGGGCCCAAGGACTTAGGCCATCTCCCACTGCTTTTCCAGGCCACAGCAGAGAGCTGGATTGGAAGTGGAGCAGCCATGACTCGAACCAGCGCCCACATAGGATGCTGGAACTTCAGGCAAGGGCTTTCACCCACTGCACCATAGCACTGGCCCCCCAGATGGCATCTTAACTCTCTCACCAAACATCCACCCCTTTAGTGGTCTTTTAATCACCAGACTACTTTTCTGCCCCTAAACTTGTCTTTTAACTCCATTTTTCCTTGAAATATCCTTGTATTTTATCATGTCATACCATTAAGTACACAATCATCATCTACGTGTCACAGCTCATGACTAAATATCACTAGAAGCCTATGGTATACATACTATTATCCCCACTCTACAAAAAATAAATATAAAAATAAAGGCTTTTATTATCCAAGGACACAATGACCAGGAATAAAAAGCTTGATTCAAATCTGAATTCAGAGATTTCACTCTCAACCATTCTGCAAGATCATCTAGACACCTGTTTTACAAAATTCTTAGTGACAACTACTTGGAAGAAATAAAATATTTTTCAAAACCATTCTGAAATCCACAATAGCCATCTACTTCACTGAAACAGAAGTAAGGCTCATCAGTGTTCAGAAGGCTTTGCCAGCATGCAATGTTCTAGGCGATATCTCAGTTAACTCATAGACCCCATCGTTTGTCTGTTTTCCCTCATCCAATCCAGCTGACATCTCCAAGGAGAGGATGGGATATTTGAAGTTGATAACAGAATGTGCCTGAGGTCCCTCCATAGCCACCGTCCAAGAGAGAAACTTCAGGAAAGCCTTCTCAAGGATGAATTCTTCGTTCAAAGGTCCTGGCCCAGGTTAGAGCCGCACTCAACACCATTGCCGCACCTGACCGACCCGGGTTCCTGATGCTGTAGAACTGCTGGGCACCGAGACCTTGCAACCTCTCTACTCCCCTCACAGTAGCTGTCTCCCTGGAATGCATGGGGACGGTAAGGCCCCAAATTACAAAGAAAGTTCTCCAAGTAAGATGGTCCAGCTCCTCCAGTAAACACATTGCAGATTTTAGAACAGTGTAGGTGAAGTCACACCTTGAGACCACAGGAAGAGTGACCCTGCCCAAGGCTCTGCTAATTCCAAGGACTGAAATGCTGGACACAAAACTGGGAGATCAACAATTGGCTGAACCCAAAGCCTATGAAAATCTCTTCTTCTTAAGCTCAAGTACAGTCCATCTCTCCTCCCCCTGCCAGAGAGAGAACCAGAACCAGAGGATTAAAGTAAGAATCTGACCTTATGAGAGATGTGCAATTCGGGACATGCTCAAGCTGACTTACCTCAAACAGTAGAGTTAGAAACATACCAGGGGATTCCAATTCAATCCCATCAAGGTGGCATGTACCAATGCCATCTCACTATTCCAAGTGATCAATTTCTGTTCACAATTGATCATAATGATAGGACTAAGAACCAAAGGGAGCACATAAACAAGACTAGTGTCTGCAACTAATACTAACTGATAGAATAAAAAAGGGAGAGAATGATCCAACATGGGAAGGGGGATACACAGCAGACTCAGAGAATGGCAGATGTCCTAAACAGCACTCTGGCCTCAGAATCAGCCCTTAAAGCATTCAAATATGGCTGAGGAGCCCATGAGAGTACTTTAGGCATGGAATGCCAAGATACTCTGGCAAAAGCAAACAAACAAAGAACAACAACACAAAAAAAAAACCCTAAATGAAAGATCTGTGTGAGTGAGATCCCAGTGGAAAGAATGGGCCATCAAAGAAGGAGGTACCTTTCTCTGAAGGGAGGAGTGAATCTCCACTTTAACTATGATCTTGTCTAAATAAGATGGAAGTTGGCAAACTCAAAGGCTTCCATAGCCTGGGCAACTCAGGACAAGAGCATAGGGAGATTGCTGACGCCATAAACAAGGGTATCAATTTTTTGAGTCAACAACAGGAGTCACTGTACACTTACTCCTCATGTAGGATCTCTGTCCTTAATGTGCTGTACATTGTGATTTAACGGTATAACTAGTACTCAAACAGAACTTACACTTTGTGTTCTGTGCGGGTGCAAACTGTTGAAATCTTTACTTATTATATACTAAACTGATCTTCTGTATATAAAGAGAATTGAAAATGAAGCTTGATGTGAATGGAATGGGAGAGGGAGCAGGAGTTGGGAGGGTTGCAGGCAGCAGGGAAATTAGAGGGGGGAAAAAGCCATTGTAATCCAGAAGCTGTACTTTGGAAATTTATATTTCTTAAATAAAAGTTAAAAAAAAAAAGAAAAAAGTAGAGGAAGTGCATTCTCCTGAGGAGAGTAAGAGAAAAAACCACAGTGGTTACTCTGCAGCCAGATGTGAACTCAGTATGAGAAAGGATTTTCTCATTCATCGTGAAACTCAACCACAGACCAGACCATGTTAACAGGCATCTTCTCACTGAGTTGACAGTCAGACTAGGGGAGGAAACAACATGCAGAGGATGGGGTCGCTGTTGACAAGAGCTTCAGGGCTCTGTGAGTGCATCAGTAGATGGGGTGGGATCTCTCCATGACTGGGGATGTCCTTCACCCTCAGGGAAAGCCCACTGTTTTCCAAGCTACAATCACTAGCATGAAGCTGATCCCAGATGCCTGGTGGTAATACAGGGATGCTGAACAAATCCCTGTGTAAGTTGGAGCTTTAGCTGACATGACCTCAAAGGTCTCAGTATTTGGTAGGACTCTAGCAACTCAACCCCCAACCTCTCAAAGCACATAGATCAAGCAATATATACCTAAAACCTAAGAGCTCAGGCAATAGAGTCAGACAGTTTTGGCTTCTGCTGTTTTACAGCTTGGGTGACCTTGAGCAAATCCCTCAACCTCTCCAAGGTTCACTGCCCTTATCCATCAAATGATAATAATAATAATAGAACCTGACACCTGGGTTGTGCAGAGGATTAAATGAGGTAGTATACAGGAAGAACTTAAAATTTAAGAATTCGATAAATCATAGTTATTAATACAGCTTGCCTCCTCACAGACCCCAAACATATCATAACAACTCCTTTTTTATTTTTGTTTTTAATTATTATACCCACTTATGTGCTATTTTGATACCTGTATATATAACAATCAAATCGGAGTATTTGGCATCTCTAATACCTCCAACATTTATTATTCCTTTGTGTGAGAACATTCTAGTACTTTCGGAATATATAACACAAGATGGTCAACTATAATCACCCTGCTGTGCAACACCAGAATTTATTCCTCCTAACTGTAATTTTGTATCTGTTGGTCATTCTCTTCCCATTCCTCCTTCATTCCTTCATCTAATCTTTACTTAAATTGCTCACATTCCTCACTATCTCTTCTTTTTTATAAAACCCAGTGCAAGCACGAATCTTCATTATAGACTAAGGGAAGGAAATACAACCCCAGTGTATTAACTGTATTTCTGAAAATCTGAAACTTCCATTCTCTTTGACCCAACAATTCCAGTTGTATTCACATGCTTAGCACAGATGTATTAGTGTGGCTACACAAAGATTTAGGCTCCACGATATATACAGCAGCACTGCTGTTACCAACTAACAACTGGAAACAACCTATGTGTCCATTAAAAGCAGACTGGAAGACTGTTTATGATCATTCCTACAATGAGTATTCCGTGCATGTTAAACAGAGTGGCAACATAGCCAGCAGTCAAAAGTCCAGTGGGGGACAAAAAAAGAGCACAATACTGTACTGTGTATGTTTTCAAAAGATGAAGAAAGAGCAGGCATTTGGCACAGTGGCTTAAGGTAAGTGGTATATCCCAACTCAGAATGCCAGGTTTCAGTCTGGGCTCCTCCACTTCCATTCTAGCTTCCTGCTAATGCATACCACCCCAGAAGGCAGCAGCTGATGGCTTGACTACTTAGGTCTCTGTCACCACATGGGAACCCAGGATTGAATTCCAGGCTTCTGGTTACAGTTTGG